GGCGCAAGTCGCGTGCGCGAATGCTCCCAAAGGATGCCCTGGTCTAATACACACAGCGTCCTCCCAAGCACTTTGCACGTTATGCTCATCCCGAGGCCCGCCATGTCGCACGTCTTCCAACAACATTTTGTTGTCGCCACTCCGGATTATGTCGCGGCTCTCCGCCGCCAGCGGATTCTGTCGTCGCCCGTCGTTTTGTCGGTGGCAGTTGTTTTCTGTGTCGTTTGAATTTGTCGTCGGCCACCCTTTTTCTGCCGTCGGACTTCTTGGCTTTCTTGTCGTCGACCCTTTTTGTTTGCCCCTTTTTGTTGTCGTCGGCCCTGTTTGTTTGTCGTCGGTTCTTTCTGTGTCCTTCACGGTCGGATTCAAAATGTTGTTAGGGCTCTTCAATATGTTTGGGATCCTTCGCGGCCGGATCCATCTTCAATACCGTTCAAGTTTCGCGCGTCCCCATCATCCCGTTTCGAAACGATGCCAAGGCCACCTGCTGGGGAGGTCAACGCTAACAACTTTTGAGACGCGTGACGAGCGATGCGGTTCCATTCGTAAAACAAATGAATGTGAGCCAACATTTGTTGTCGTTCGTCGTTTTGTGATCCTATGGACATGGAAGGAGTGAGAGGAGGATAGTGTACTCTCCTAGACCGCAGGCATTCTGAGAGTTTCTGTGTCTTCGGGGGAAGCTCAGAAAACTTCTCAGGAGGCCAGGGAAGTTCCGAGCCTTCTGAGAAGGCCCGCCCCATCTCGAACGGGGCGCGGCCAGCGAGAGCGGCCAAGGATGGGCCAAAGGGGAAGGATGCAAGGGTAGTACTGGAAAGTCACTCATCCTGACTATGCTGGTTGACTGTATGTGCCCTCCTCGGAGGCGCGCGTCCGAGGCATCTAGCACAACCATCGCACGGCGCATCGCTTCCCGAGCGGTTCGGGCAGAAAGCGCCCAGCATGAAGCATATGCTTTAAGATTCCTCGGCGCGACGCGCACGTAGTATTAGTATCTTCGGGTGGCGCCGACTATCTGCGCCGTCGGGCCGCTGTCCGCGCCGAATCCGCGCCGATGAAGCCGTGTCGAATCCATGTCGACCTCGTCGAAAACGCGCCGATTCGAATTGGAACCCGCGTCGACTCCACGCCAGCTCCGCGTCGAGCCCGCATGGAACCCGCGTCGAGCACCAGACAAAACCACCTTCGAGGACAGACGAGGCCCCCCGAAGATCTGGAGGTCCCAACACCGCGCAGCAACATACCATACCGCATGGTGACCACGGAACTCCCCACGAACTCATCGCGCGGCGACCCCGGATGCCCAATGACTCACCACACGGGCCCTCCTCCGAACCTTCGGCTTCTGGTCGCGGCCACGAGCGGCTCGCTGACCCGGGTCAGCCAGAGGGGGTCTTCGCGGGATCCTGCAGGATCCGGTGCCCTGGCTGACCCCCGTTTGCAGTCCCCCGTCTCTTGAGCCCGATTCTCTTCTTCGACACATGACCGACTTCCCCCCCAAGCTGTCATCTCTTGGGAAGCCAACTCTTACTTCCGCCGGCCTTCCCTTGACTTGAGCTTGCGGGCCTGGCTTCGTAGTACCTCCGTCGGCTTCCGCCGGGGAGGAGATGTCAACTCCTTCGACCCTCGAAGGCGAGGCCTTTCTGGTTTAGGCCCCGATTCTGGGCCATCACTCGGGGCTCCGGCGGCCGTTCGGGACGATTAGAAGGGCACCCCCGGAGCGCTCCTGGGCGCGGCGCGGCCGCTGGAGCGCAGCCGCTGGAGCGCAGGGAAGTGCCCAAGGGGCCGAGGAGACCGCCCGAGAGCATGGAGCCCCCACCCCCACCTCCTCCTCCTCCCTCCTCCCTCCTCCCCCCTCCCTCCTCCTCCTCCTACCTCCTCCTCCTACCTCCTCCTCCTCCTCCTCCTCCCTCCTCCTCCTCCTGCCTCCTCCTCCTCCCTCCTCCTCCTCCTCCTCCTCCTACCTCCTCCTCCTCCTACTCCTCCTCCTCCCCTCCCTCCTCCTCCGCCTCCTCCTCCTCCTCCTCCTCCTCCTCCTCCTTCGCTCGGGAGCTCCCGAACGAAGTGAACCCCACCCTCCCCCTCAGGAATCGTGGGGGGTAGGGTTCGCATGTGGCCCCCTACCCACCCCCAGGCTCGCCGAGACAGCGTGGTCACCTCACCGTTGGATGGGGCCCTCCCGGAGAGATGCGGCGTGACTTTGCAGACCCGCGCGAGAGAGGGGAGAGGCGAGGGTCAGGTCGGGCATGTCCCCCTACAGGCGGATCTTGGACGAAAAAACAAAACATACTCCAAAAGATCCAAAGATGGCCAAATATTGTTAAACATGATTCCCATTCTATGTTTGAGTACTTTTGGATTCTCTTCCTGTAGAGGGACAGGCCCGACTTAACGTTGGATGGGGCCCCCCGAGAGGTGCGGCGTTTGGCTTCACGGGCCCGCGCGGGAGGAGGGGAGAGGCGAGGGCGCAGCGCCGTCTGGCCCACCACGCGACGGGAGGGGGCAGAGCCGCGGGCAGCGAGGTCACCTCGCGTCGGGGGGGGGATTCTTCTCGGTCTCGGCTACACGCAAGAGTGACCCTGGGTAAGAGCGACCTTTGCTGCGCGGCTGTTTGGGACCGCGGGGGGGCCAAAAACAATTGCTCAAGCCGCTGCTACCGCTTCTCTTTCAGCCATCTGGGGACCCATCTGTGCCCGCATCAAAAAGGTCACTCTGGGTAGTCGATGTTCACCCTCCCCAGGAGATAGCTTTACGTCTTTACGTTTGTTCGGTGGGATAAAGGAGCGTTCTTCCAGTTCCCTGGCGATCACGGGCGTGACCGCGAAGGGGGGAAGGGGGGGGGAGCGTTTGTGTATTCGGCGTTTCGACATTGGGCGGACGGGGGGGGGGGAGGGGGGGGTCTGGCTCCGGACCTCTGCGTAATGCGACTGTTTGCAACAGGGCGTCCATTACGGGGGGAGGCTCCACCTGCCCGAAACAGGCGCCAGAAAACAACCAAGATCCACTCCAAGGTGGAGGGGTGCGAGGGCCCGTGCCGATCGGCAAAACAATTGATAAAACACTATCGCTTGTTCGGTGGGATAAGGGAGCGTTGTTTCCGATCCCTGGCGATAGCGGGCGTGACCGCGAAGGGGGGGAAGGGGGGGGGGGGCAGTCAGTCACGTCACGATTCGCGCCCGCGCCGTCCCGAAACGCCTAGGAATAGTCCATTCCTGGACGGGCGCCGAGCGAGTCGTGACGCGGCTGGGGTGGTGGGGAGGGCAGGGCTGGTCACGGGCGTGATCGCGAACAGTACAGGGCAGTTTTTAATAGGACTGTTGAAACTATATGATCTTTAATACATGATTAATTCACGTATAAATTTACGCATGAACTCATCGTTGTGTTTGATACTAACCCCTGCATTTTTAATACATAATCCGCACGCGGAGCATGTGTTAAAAACGGCACTGTACGGAAGGCTCGTGTTGTGTCAACCTGGGCGTTGGTTCATGACCCCGCGTCGATCGTTCCACCTTGAACCATCGGCGGCTTCTCGATTGCCAAATCCTTCCATATTGGCCGATTCTGGGCCACTGGCGGCGTTCAACCTTGAGCGCCCGCGCTGGGGTCGCCGCCGGTCGACACGACGCGAACCCGCCGTATACAAAAAAGGGTTCTGAACCTGGGCTATCCGACGGGGGGGTCAGGCCGACGACCTAAACATTTTTTTTTTTACTGACGAATCGGGCTCCGCGCATCCACCATTCGATCAGTTCGGGTACTGCTTTCGAGCTTGCAGGGATCCAGGTGCCCCAGGCGAGCCCCGAGGACAGCTGGTAACTCTTGAAATGCTCCAGACAGGGACGGGAGCTCGTGACGAAACGCCTGCAGAGGTGAGGAGGGACTGATGCATGGGCAGTGCTCGGCGCGCTCGGCTTGCATCGGGCTGCGCTGTGCGTACCAGCTGCTGCTGAAAGGGAACTCACACGCGCTACAGCGCTGCATACGTGCGCTGCGAGCGCCACAAGACCGGAGCTTCAAGCCAGATAATCGGCAGAAGCCAGGAATCCACCTCGTGCGGGCCGCGTCCCGTCGACACGGTAAGATTAAAACACATCATGTCAACGCACGCCGACGATCGAGAATACTGTTCCGCAATGTTCAATTGAGAACGCTAACGGCCGGTGAATCGGCGCGGGGCTAAGGCCCGTGTCCGCGCGGCGAGGGAGTCGCGGTGCCGTGCGGCCGGTACGCAGGCCATACGCGATATGGTGAGGCAGAGGATGAGTGAATGAAGGGGCCCTGGGACATTTTATGTGTTTTGTCTTCCCCCCCAATTTCCAGCTGAGTAAAGTCGGGCAAGGTGGCCAAGACAATTGGAGTCGGCCGTGAAACACCACCACAACATCTGTACATCTCTCGAATATGAGGGGTATTTCCTGCGTACCTCCTCTGTGTGCTTGTAGGACGATTGCTTGCACAGCTCAATCGGGCGTGCCTGCAAAATCTGTTTGAACAGGTGGAGTGGCAAAACTTGTTGCCGAATATGGCTAACACAAGCCTGCACAAACACCCCTGCCACCGTCGAAACACTCCGACATGTTACTGCATTACCTCTGTGGATGTTGCTCGCCCAACCAGCCGAATAATGCGGTTTCTGGGGCCAACAATCGCGAAACCATCACGGCAAGCAAGACCGGAGACGGCGACGGCGAGACCGTGAAACGAAGAAACGTAACGCGGTCAGGGAGTCGAAACGGAAGGAAGGAGGGAATGGGAACTTGCACTGATTGCGATTAGACTTCGCCCGCCGCTCAAGGAACCTTTCTGGTCAATCATCACAATGCTGAGCAGACCTGCGCATGGGCTGCCCGCAGCCTGTGCCTCCAGCCCCAGGCCTGAGCCCCGGGGACCGCGGAGGGGGCCTCAGAGTGTGCTGGGCCGGCGCCGACGCGGCCCGCGCGAGCGGCCCTCTCCCGCCTCGCGTGCGGCCGGAGTGCGGGCGCGGAGGGACGAGCTCAGATACCGAAGACATCCGCCGAATGCGTGAGGTCCGCCTCGGTGCTCGAGGCCTCGGGGGCCTCGCAGAACTCGCAGGAGGACTGGCCGTGCGTCAGCAACAGCCCGCACGTGTCGCACTGGCCGCAGACAATGCCGCTCTGAGGGACGTTGCACGGCCTGCGCTGCAGCTCCTCCCGAGCGGTGTCCAGGGCAAGCAGAGCGCTGTGCAACCAGCAGCAGGAGCCCCCCGGCGCCGCGGCAACGTTCCCCTGCAGGAGCAGATAGGCCAGCGTGAGGGTCTGCGTTCTGAGCGGCGTCAGCTCGTACTCGGGGTGGAGCAACGTCGCCTGCTGCGCCGTCGCAGGGCTGCTGGACGGTGCCGCCTCGGCGCCGCCCGGGGCCTCTCGAGACTGCAGCGTTGCATGCTCCTGGACCACGGGCAGGCTCTGGCTGGTCCCGGCCATGAGTGAGCGGTGGCTGGCGCTGACAGCCTGCCTCACCTCCACGACACCGCTGAACTCCAGGAACTCCTTGCCGTCCGAGGAACCCGCGGCGGAAAGCTCCGTGGCAAACGAAAGCTTTCTGCTGCCACAGCCGGACCTGCCCGTGCAGGACTCCAGCATTGTGTCCATCGACTCGCCCACCGCCGGGTTCAGCGCGCTGGACAGCTCGTCGCTGACCTGCTGCGCCGTGGGGCGCAGCGAAGGCCTCGGCTGCGTGCACTGCTCCACCACCGGCCGGCAGGCGCGCGAGAGGTCGGCGGCGGGCACGGGCCACGCCAGGCTCGGCGGCTGGCCGCGCCGCAGTCGCCTCAGCACCCTGTCCCTGCTCGCGCCCTCAAAAGGACGGCGCCCGGTCACGATGAAGTAGGCCAGCAGCCCGAAAGAGTACAGGTCGGCGGCCGCGGCGGGGGGGACGGCCACCCCCGTGAGCAGCTCGGGCGCCATCCAGCGCAGCGTGCCGCCGAGGGGCACGGCACGCCGGGTGACGAGGCGCGAGAGCCCGAAGTCGAGCAGCTTGGCGTGGTACCAGATCTGGCCCCCCCTGCCGCGCCGCTCCTCCACGAAGACGTTGGAGTCCTTCAGGTCTCCGTGGACTATGACGGGCTGCCTCGAGTGGAGGTAGCGGAGCACGTTCAGGATGTCGGACACGATGAGGCACCGCGCGGAGGCGCTGGCCGGCGGGCCCCTGGCCTCTGGACCCTCCGCGTGCGGTGCATGCCGCTGACGAACGCGCCCAGGGGCACGCCGTCCACGAACTCGAGCACCAGGCTCAGCTTGCTGAGGGCCGCGTCCATGCACGCCCCGTACAGGAAGGCGATGTTGGGATGGCGGATGCGCCGCAGGACCCTCAGCTCGTTGCAGAGCTCGGGCAGGCTCGAGCCCATGGCGCCCCGCCTCAGGATGTCCTGCTTCGGCGCCTTCACCGCCACGAGGGTGTTGTGGTACAGGCCAGCGGCGACGATGCCGAAGCCGCCGACGCCCAGGACCCTGTCAGCCAAGAGCTCCACCTGCCCGCTGCCGATGAGCCAGTGCTCCCGCTGGCCTATGGAGCGGATCTGGTCCAGGGACGCATGCCCTGCGCCACCGTCGAAGGCCGCCGCGCTCATGGTCGTCCCCGGGCACGACACCTCGTCGGAGCCGCGGTCCGACACCACCGCGGCCTCGCGGCTGCCCAGCTTCCCCAGCTTCGACAGCTCGAACTCGGCCTGGAAGCGCATCTGCTTCTCCAGCAGGAGCCCCGCGAACAGCAGGCGCTCCTGCCTCTCGAAGGACCGCCGCCCTATGGCCGCGAAAACCGTGAGCAGCAGGAGCCCCATGACATTGTAGGGCGGCACCATGTTCATGGCAGGACTGCCGAGCAGCAGCGCGGGCACCGTGTAGGCCAGGACGGCGATGACCTCCATGGGGAAGAGGATCATCCAGCGGATGGGCAGCAGCAGGTGCAGGGCGGTGACCACGCAGTCGATGTACAGCACCGTCTGGCCGTCGGTGCCGCCCAGGTCCACGCCCCAGATATCCTCGGGGTCGCCGTGGCCGAAGAGTCGGGCCATGTAGTGCTTCGGGATGATGACCATCACTATCATGTAGCAGGTGCTGGCAGAGACGACGATGATTTCTAACCCAAGCGTGCTGATGATATTATACCTGGCCAGCAGTATCCCAGACCCGAGGGCGAGGGCGCAGGGTGTGGTCATCATCATGCCGATGCGCAGCTGCCACCTGCTGAGCTCCCTCGCCTCCGCCGTGGGGTACTGGGCGTTGTCCCAGAACCTGTGGGCGATCAGGCCACCCAGGAAGCTGGAGGCGACAAGGGCGACCATAGCCAGCGTCGTGTAGTTGCACAGGGGCGCCTTGTGGGCGTGAGCAAAGCCGTCCTCCCGCATCGGGTCTGCGAACCTCAGCGTGAAGCGGTCGATGCCGTCCTCGAACCTGGCCCGCCGGCAGCAGGCTCCTCGGCGCCCATGGCCCAGAGAGGCTGGCGTGAACATGTGTAACCTCTACGAGGTCCTCGGGGTGTCCGCTCAGGTCCGGTGGCACATGCCATCGAACCAGCTGCTTGAGCCAAAATCTACGGAGGCCGACGACCTAAACCTTGTCGCTTCCGGCAGCCTCACGCATGCCCGCGCGCACCGGCACCGCGTGCCCCCTTCGGACCTGCGCAGCCGACAAGGTCAGGCTGCCCAGGGCGGGGGGGGGAGCGGGCGAGGGCGATCATCCTGGTCATGGCCCATACCCTGAACAATCAGCCTGGCGAAGGACCCAACCATATGCAGCTGTGAGTACCGCAATAGTGAACATCTTCTTCGGTGCGGCGCCGCCATGCCAACGCAGCCACTGGGGCCTTCGGTGGAGCTCCCTATGGGGCCACGAAGCGTGTGAGGGGTGTACCGAACTGGGTGCGGTGACGAGGGAGGGGGCAGCGGGAGGAAGGGAGGAAGGAATGAACGCGGGGCGCTGTCTCTTCAAAACGAGGACCCAACACCACAGGATGGTTGGGAAAAAAAATCCCCTGAGAGACGCGAGACTCGAGTTTGTGAGAATCGAGTTGGCCTGACGGGGCCATCAAAACAATGACGAGACCGGGTTTGAAATTAGACGCGAACTCCTACTGCAAAACGTCCCACGCAAACTGGACCGTCAAAATCCCGGACGGGCTCGTCAAAGAGCGTCGGCAAACCCAAGATCCGGCGAACGTTCCCCCGACCTTGCAACTCCTGGGAGATCTTCATCGGCAACGAGTAATGCCTACTAATCTCCTTGAGCTGGAGTAGGCCGGCTTGAGCTCGGGACTACGCTGGATTAGGCGGGAGTAAGCTGGATTCAGCGGGACTAGCGCGGACTAGGTGGGATTAAACCAGATTAGGCCAGATTTCGACTAGAATTCTGAAGTCAAGCTCCCAGGAGTTGCATCCTAGCGGGGAAGGTGCTACTCCTCACCCTGAACCTCCAGGAGGGCTCGAAAGCAGCACAGGCACATTTGACCTCAACAGGCAACCACATGTGAACGCTACCCCTGCAGGTCAGATTGCCGAATGCCCCTACCACTATTACTACCCCTGCAACCACATGTGAACGATGACCCTGCAACCACATGTGAACGATACCTCCACCCTTGCGGCTAGGGTGGGGTTAAGAAGGATGTCTGCAACCAAGAAGACCCCAGAGTCGAGTGGACTCGTGGGGGTAGGGTTCACTGGCGGTCGCACATCACACTCCAGCCAGGTTCTGAAAGGTCGTTACGTCTGGAGGGCCATTTTCAGCAGGAAAGTCGGGGTCATCCACCCTTCTCCTCCTGCTCCTGTCACTACGGGTTTTGAAAACGGCTAGCCGTTTTTTTTTTTTCCGTTTCCAACAACCTTGATCTTGAGAAACAAATTGTTCAAAAACGGCTCACCGAAACGGATACAAAAACGGCTCTGGGGTTGAAGCCAGAGCCGGAGCCGGAAAGAGCAACAAAAACGGCGACGCAACCAGAAACAACACGGCGCCGAAACCAGCGGATAAAACTGAAAACAAACACGGGCAGCACAAACAACTTGCCAGCCGTGTCCAGGTGCCACCAAGCTCGTGCTCTTGCCCCCGCCCCTGTCCATCGTTCCTCTCCTCCGCCCACTCCTCTGACGGGGGATATGGGAGACCCCAATCTCCGACTCTGGGGGGTGTCTTCGACTGGACCAAACATTTGGGGCCCAGCCCTTGAATATACCATAGGGGGCGTCCGTCCTCGACGGGGGCACGTCCGAGAAGTCCCCTGGGGGGGGATCCCAGAGCTCCCCCCCCCTCTTCTGCACGGTCAAACTTCTCGGGCGGAAGTGGGGGATTGCGGGAGACAAGTCGCCTGCGATTTTCCTTTCCTCGAATACGACAGCAGGAAGAAGACAAAACCAGGGGCTGGGAAATCTCTGAGAGCCAGAGAACGCCTCGGGCGCCGCGGCCCTCCCACAGCGCTCTGGGACGCTCTGAGGGCGGCCCATACTGCTGTGGAGAAGACTTCTCTTCTGCTCACCAAGCCTGCCTGCCCCTCCCCCTCCTCCACGCGTTTCCTGCGACGCGCTGGTGAGGTCCAGCCAGCGGTGACAGCTGTGGAGATGCAAGCAACTAGAATTCGGTTGCTCGTGAAAGCGCAGACACACACACATACACACACATCGGCGAGCGTGGAACATGTACATCGAAACGTGCTCGCGAGGAAAGGGAGGACGACGAGGGGAGGAAAGGAATAGGGGTGGGGGGGTAGGGATATACGTGTTGAAGGGCACGCGAGCAGGTAAGAGCGAGCAGGCTTGACACGATTGTTGTGATAGCTGTCGTGGCCCGAGCACGCGAACCCCCTGCGACACTCCCGCGACCCACCCTGCGACACACCCCGCGACCCATTCCGCGACCCACCCGCGACACATTCCGCGCCTGCCCCCTCACTCTAATCTGCAACTGTAGCTGACTTACTTACTGACGTACTTACTTACTTACACACACACTAAAGACGGCGGGGGAGAGCCGGGGAGATGGATGGGGAGGGACGGGGGGCATAGCAGCGGGGGGGAGCAGGAGTGGAAGGAGGAGGAAGGTGTGAGAGGAGGGGAAAATGGCGGGGCAGAAGCGGGGAGGGGGCAGGGCATGGGGGAGAGGGGGAACAGGAGAAGCGGCACGGGAGGGCCGCCCCAGGCCTCGCAAATAGCAAGAACCGTCCCGAGGGCCGCGGTGCTCGATACTCGATCCTTCTCCTCGGGAGGGACGGGCGGGGAGGCGAGGACCCTAAAACGACACGAAGATCGGGACAAAATCGGATCGGGATAACTCGAAATCTCTGAGAATCGGCGGGTTTGGAGGATGTATTGGGCGCCGCGGCCGCTCCAGAGCGTTCCGGAACGCTCTGAGAGCGCTCCAGAACGCTCTGGAGCGATTTATCCCGATCCTAGCACTGTTTTAGACCCCGAACCCCAAACCACGTGAACCCCACGAGGTCTCGACCTCCTCCCCGGGACCGGCCTTCCACCCCGAGCCGTCTGCGGCGGTGCTTCGGGCCCCGGCAGGGGTCGCAGGAGAGGGCGGAGGCAAGGGGGGAGGGAGCCCTGCACGCTCGAGTCGTGACCACTTCGGCGCTGGTTTGTGACACCCCGTGGACTGTTCAACCACCGATAGACAGCGCGGGCGGCTCGACACCACCTGACTCAGGGACAGAAGCGGCGTTCAACCTTGAGCGCCCGCACGGGGGCCTCTGCCGCGACGACACGGCGCGAGCCTGCCGCAAGAGAGACCTCGGCGACATGCAAGAATGACCCCAGGCAGGAGTGCCCTCTGGTGCGAGGAGTTAGGGGGCCGCGGAGGGGTCAAACCCAAGCGCCAGCCAGTGCTGGGGTTCCCTGTGGGTCCTGCGCGTTGCTCATTGGGGGCGGCCAATAAACTGAGGACCGAAGACACGATCACCATCCCTACACCGTTTGGGCCTGATGGGGCTTCTTGGGGCCACGAAGGTATACGAAATGTGCACAGTTCTTCATCCTCCAGTTTACCGCCGACTCAATTATCGGAAGGTCGCGCCGCCGATGCATCACCGATGCATCACCGATGCATCGGCGACGTCGGCGGTCCATCGGCGCTGCCTGCGTGAAGAGAATCGGGCTCCGAATCGAGCCGCATCGGCGATGCATCAGCGATGCAGCGCGATCCTCCGACCCCATCTACTCGGGCCCCATCTGGGAGGCTAGACTTACGCAACGCCCGAGGATCCGCCGTGCAAGGAGGAGGAGGAGGAGGAGAAGTGCAAGCAAGCAAGCTGTGCAAGCTGTACAGGCTGTGCAGGCTGTGCTGAGCTTGTTTTCCCGCCCAAGCGCCAGACGGCGTATGGCTTGGGTGCGACGGCGAGGATCCGCACCACGGGTCACTCCAGCGAGGGGCCATCCCGACATGCACCCGAAGAGCGCGGGGGGAAGGCTCCGCACGCCCGGCCTCTGCAGCAGGGAACACCGCACGTGCACCTCCTGGCCGGCGCGGCCCAGCGGCGGGGAGGGGGAGAGGGGAACGGAGGATGATGGAGCATGAACATCTCGGGGATGGACAGAAGCCCCTTCAGCAAAACGTGGTTGAATGGAGCGACCTCGGGCCCAAACCTGGCGGGCGCAAGCCTGGAAAATGAAGGCCGCAGCGCCCTCTCGAGAACCGAAAACGGACAATTCACTCATCGGCGTGTCAGGGCGGGGGTCCTGTGCATCTCCGGCACGGGCGGCCACCGCCGCGGACGAGCGTCCAGGCCCAGCTCAGGCCAGAGACCGTGGCCTCTGGACCCTGGCGTGCCTGGACACCTGCCATGCGAGGCACACGAAGAATCAGGAAGGGAAGGGGGAGAACAGAGGGAGGAGGAAGCCCTGGGTGTCCGTGCAGGAGCGGACGGGGGAAAGAGGGGCGGAGGATGGAGGAGTCTTGGGGAACTAGGAGGTCTTCGCAAGAACAAAGCAGGGCGATCAAGCACGAGCATGGAGCATGGAGCCACCGGGCCAGACTGGACCAGATCCAGCCCAGGATGAGCTGGATGAATCAAGGTTGAGCGGGAGTGCGCCAAACTGCGCCAGATTTGGCGGGATTGAACCAGATCAATCGAGGGCGCGCCGGATGCGGCGGGGGTTCGACTACGGAGATGTACCAGCGCCGATGCTGAACTTGACATCCCAGGAGTTGCACGCTGGGGAGTCCGAGGGGCAGAACGAAGAGGATGGGGACCAGAAGGAGGATGCGTTTGACTGGACACGTCCTCACACAATATTGTGGTTAACCCTGGTCGGGAGGAGGGGCGTGGATAGCAAAGATTGTTGATCATAACATCACTGTGGCCCGAAAATCAAATGCTGGCAAGAGCTCACTACCGTGAGGTTCGTGCACGTTTCTCGGGCCTGGCTGCGTTCCGATCGCATACGGAACCTCCAGTCACATGATCTCCATGTGGCGCAACGGTGCAGCGCCCCCCTCAAGGGGCACATGGTTGTTCATGTTG